GCGCAGCTGTGTAGAGATCCCGTGTTGTCAGGACTTCCCGAAAAATGCACCAGATCACATCGAAATTCAATGGTGGAGGACCGGTCTTGACATTCTCCATCTCCATCTCCATCTCCATCGAAATCAACAGCCCGCCGGGCAGAAAATCGACGGAGCGGACGTCGTTGCTGGGGCGGTCAGCTGTGAATGCACAGTGTGACTGGCCCGACAGCCACGTATGTGGGCTTTGGAGTGTTCGAGACCACCAACTTTGCGAAGGGGAGCGACCTCTGAATTTCTCTAGGGGGGATGTGGTACTGCGTAGCGGAAGGAAATGACCACAACCCGCATCAGCTTTATACAAGGTCAAGAGCGCTGGAAGTCCATCAATGCCTGAGTGAGTGGAGAGTCGGAGCACGAGGAGAAATATGAGAGAAGATTAGGAGAGCCGTGGCTGAAGTCGAGTGGTAACTGGTGTCGGCATCTGTCGGCATCCGAGTCATGTATGGGACCCCGTGTGAATTTCTGCTTGATGTAACCCGCTGTCGTCGACAGGAACAGGCGTTTCTTCTACCTTTTATATTGTCTTATCTTCGTAGAGTTGCGTTTTCACGTATACGCTTGATCCCGACTTCTCATATTCAAGTGAGACGATCAGTCAATGTTTCTACTCCAACACCTCTTCAAATCCAGTCCAGCTCTGAGCTGGTCCCGACTCAACGTGCTATGAAATTCGGTCCCGCGTCTTCATGTACTGATCTCACAGGCTCTGGCTAGCTCCAGCCCCTACGGCAGCTGCCGCCCCAATACGTTCCTTTGCCTATCGCAATCTTGTTAGCCTATTGGTATAGAAGGGATTCAAGCTTACTTGCCTCAGCAAGCAAGTCCTGGTCTACTTCTGGAAGCAATTCCGTGAGTTCTCCGGGCCGTGGCACAACTGTCCAACGCGTCGGCGTGTTCCGTATGAACATGCAGACGTCCTCGGGGAGATGTTGCCCGTGCTCGGCATTGAACTCCTCGCGCACGTGACGCTCCTCTGTTTTCAACCAGGATTACTCTCGTTAAAACCAAGATACATGTCCAATTCGTGGACACACCTTCTGCCATGGCATCCAGCTGGCTGACCATGCCCTGCACGATCTTCTCAGCGGCCTCTCGGTACTGCCGGCGGCGCGCGAGTTCGAGGAGGAGCCTGTTATATGCGCATTGGTACGATGTGAAACGGTGATGCAGTGACTCGATTGTCATGAGATGTTGATGCAGTAGTGCAAGATGTTTGCCGCTCTCAGTCTGTAGCAGTGCATCAGTTTCATACTAGCAGTAGCAATCCGTGCGCGCACCTCAACGTCTTGCTGCCGCTCCATTATCTCCGTCATGATCTCCCCAAGCTCATCCAGGTCATCCAGAGTTTGTCTATGTGTATCCAAGTGCTGCTGCGCTGTCTTCTTTGACTGTAATAACTGTGTGCTTCATACGCAAGGTATGTGTCACTGTCCTGCGTCTGACATGCAATCCAAGCCATAAAATGTGACTTACTGTGACGCCTCGATGGTCGCGATACTCTCTTCCAATTCGGCTATTATTGCGGGTAGCTCTTCCGTGTCACGGTTCATCTCTGCACGTAGCACTCCGTCATGTTGTAACCTGGGAGGATATGACACATCACAGACCTTGCAAATCTTCTTCGTTGAACTCTTCTCCGGCCTCGCTGTGGCTGAGAGCATCAGACATCTGCTCGTAATGGGCCGCGAGACTCTCGAGGTGGCCTGCCATCTTCGTCGATGCCGCCTCCTGGGATGAGAAAATCTCATCGATTGACGGGACAGAGAACTGAATTGGAGCGTTTGACCGGATGGTAGATATGGTGTTGGAGAGCCATTCCGGGTACTCGGATGTACGAGCCAGGATATTCTGCATGACTATGTTATGACATATCGACGTAGCACACGCAGGACATACATCAAGCGCATTGCGATCGCTCTCAATTGAGTCGAGGACGTCCTCAATCTTCCGCTCGTCCACAAAGTCCCGCAGGCTCTTCCACAAACTGCGGTCCACCGCTGCGACAGGTGCCCTGTGGAAGCACGACTCATCGTGCACAGTATCGGAGGGGCTTCCGGCTGATATGTCGCCGAACGGCGCTGCGTCGCCCTGCTCGTGCTCCGCGTCAGACGCATGCTGACTACCAAACGGTGACAGATCTGTCGTAGCGTAGAAGTCGTGCGGGACTACTTGGCCGCCGAGCGATTCAAGGATGGCGTCGAGTGCATCTGCGTGCTGCGTGCGCGCCATGTCCCATTCCTGACCGTAGAGCGCGTCAGTTCTTGTGGTAACGTGAAAGGGAAGCCCGCGCACCTCAGCCTGCTTCTCGAGCTCCCCGCGCTTCTGCTCGATACTCTTTGCAACATGAGCGGCAAGCTACGGTCCTGTGTCATACACTCGTTTCGCACACTGCGCAAGGCCGCTGCGTACCTCAAGTTGCTCTAGCATCGCGTTACTGAGCCAGCGAACCTTGGCGTCTAGAGCCAGCACATCCACTGCCACTTGAGCAGACGAAGATGACAGTTTACTTGCGCGTGAGCAAAGCAGTTCGCCGTGTTGAAGTGCCTTCTTCGATTGCAGAACAAGTGAAACCAAGTGCGGTTTGTCCGTTGTCGGTAGAATGCCGTCAGGAGAACTCATGGCGGCTTAATTAGCACTCAAGTTTCAGATGTATAGGAGAAAAAAGAAAAAAGAGATTCGATTTGGGCGAGCTGCGTTCGAATTGGGGACTGTTCAACCCAAACGTACAGGCATAATGAGCAGGGAGTCAACAGAGCCTAATAGCACAGGAGCGCCCGAGCAGGAACAGGCGTCTCCTTTCGATCACAGACCGGTCCGGACAACCGAACTGTACGACTCTGTTAATACTCTGCTATGCTCAAGCAGCGATTTTACACTATATGAACTATTGCACTTGCCAAGCCACCAGCACAAATTCAGCCAAACCACTGGAAGCAACATGGAAATAATTCGGTGTTACAACGCTACAGTTGCGTAAGTGCCCAGTACTTACTTACACCACAAATGTGTGACCACAAGCGTACTGAGACAGAATCTCAAGCAGCAAGCTAATTGGGAAGGCCAGCATCTACGACTTACAGTCCCAGATAAAGGCAGACATGGGAGGTGAGCCATTCAGGAGGTGCACCTTCGTTACGCGAGAACCGCAGCCTCGAGTGAGACCCTGGACGAGCGAGATACCGGGTCAGGCGGACGATCCACGATGCGGTCTGCGTTGTTGTTTCGAATACCAAGTACTGGGCCATGACATAGCGGGTGTTCTCTTTCAGAACCGAAGAACCAGTGTATAGCGAATGGGCGCTGCAGCTGGAAGACCGGCCAAGGCTGAGCGACATGATCCGGAAGGTTTGTGGGACCTTTGTATGAATCCATGCTTGTACGACTTCTCTGGTGCAACACGACAATCTAAATGCAATCTAGTAGAGTGACATGGTCGCGAACAGCGCCTATATGACCGACGCCAGGTCCGGACCTTTGTACAATGCACCGACGGCCATCAGTGGTAAAGGCCAAAGTAAGTGGCCACACAGTCTCTTAAGATACCATAAAAAGCGGAGGACACTTTCCCGCCCGTTCCAACCGACCTCGACCGACTGTTGACGCGGACGTTCAAACTCATTGCGCACCTCGTGAAACTACTCCCGAGACGAATATCCACGCGTGCAGAGCACCGTGTTAGTGCCCATAATGTCGCACCTTCCTTCGCCGCCGTCATCGCCGCAATTTGAGCCATACACTGCCTCAGGCCTGTCCATCCCGCCCCCACTTCGCCTTGTCGACGACTCTGCGCTGCGGGCACGGCGCCATTCCGATCGCAAGGCTGGGAAGATCCTCGGCATCGTCATTATGCGGGAAGACTTGACCACCACAGGTACAGTCGGCGAGCAGGACCAACAGGATGATTCTGAGGACGGCTTCGTGCAATTGCGAGCCGCCAAAATCCTTGGCTCCGGGAGAGACAGCACGACACAGCGTAGGCCGTATCCCGGGTGGGCATCGCGCAAGCGACGCCCGTTCACCACGTTTCTGCGGTCGGGGAGAAGGCTAGAAGAGGAGGGGGAGGAGGGGGAGGATGTGCCGCTCATAGGTTTGCAGATGACGGACGCAAATGGCGGACCAAGAGCAGGGAAGAGCAGCTTGCGCCCCGTTGGCACCCTCTTTAGCGCTTTACGCAAGCGGAAGACAGCGGGGTCCCCGGAACGAGGTGATAGGGCCATCCTGACGAACACCGCACGCATGGCCACGGTGGAGTACTACGGTTCGCTTGTGTCCCCATTTTCCGGGGTTCCACCGACAAGGCCGGAGAACACCAGTCTACGCAGACACAAGTCTACGTCCGAGAGTGTGCGCAGTGCGAGGAGTAGCAGAAGCGCACGGGAAGCGCTGACGCCAGCCACACCTGCGTCAATCAGGTCCGCATTCTCTGACATCTCGAATGCCAGCTGGACAGGCTACGTGTCGGATAACCATGACACGCACAAGAGCGATGGGTATGGCGAAAAACGAGCATCCAGGAAGCAGGCGCGGATCAGGTCGCGCACGAAGACTCTGCAAATCCTAGGCAGCGAGGCTGGCGGAGGAATATCCATGGAGGGCCTACGTTCTAAGAGTAGGAAGTAAGTATCGAGAGTCCTGGGGTCTGCATACACCAGGAAAGAAGTAACGCAACGTCCTGTATCATATGAAACGTAGACTTCACACACCATTCGTGGTATTTTAACGCTTGTGCTCGTGCTTGAGCAGGGACAGAAGTGACCGAGTAATCCATGGCCATTGACTGTACTGAGGAATAACGCGTAGTTTTGAACAGGCTCCTGGGGTATTGTCTGTTGGGTCGGTCTAGCTGCCCGCCGGTGGGCAGTACTTCTCAATTTGGCAAGGGAGGGCGAAGGATACTCTCAACAGTGGCGCGCCAAATATTGCGCCGTTATAGTCAGTAAAGTAGTCTTACCGCATATGGCCTGGTGGTCTAGTAGTATGATTCCTTCTTAGGGTGATGGAGTATCTAACTTCTCACTGATATGGAGGAGGTCCCGGGTTCAATTCCCGGCCAGGCCCTCATCCAACGGCAAACGACCGCTTGTTTTTGTTACCTTTCATTTTCTTGCCTTCTATTCCGTTGACGCAGTTCTCGATCTCCGTTTCTTCCAATGAGATCTGAGTTCGTAAGGTCTAAAGTTTGGCCTGGAACATGTTGATGTGATCTTCAACTTGCCTGACTTGAGGAGCACGTTCACCGGTGATTTATTTCGTGTCAGTCCGTCGGTTGGAGACTCGCACTCATGTCTGAATGACTTCGGTGAGGCTTTCCGGTATCATCTCTCTCGCTCCTTTCTGGCAAAGGACACCATGACATCTAACGCGACATTTCTTTCTTTGCGCCTGTCCGACGCGCAGAACGTGTACTACCACGTCGACGACGATCCTGGACTGTGGAAGAGGGTCACCGCACAGGAACAACGCGTGCGGATTAGAGGGTACAATGCAGAAGCAGCTGCCGCCATAAAAGCCTGCACCGCCTCGGGCGAGGACTATATCGACACCCCTTGGGGCTCGCTGGACCTTGTGGTGAGTGGAATGGTATTCAGAAATACTCACGTTCGCACGATTCATAAAACGCATTTAGTCATGCATCATGCGTCGCCTTGAGGAACGTCTGAAGATCCCGACCATCTACTGGGTGAGTATACTACATCTCGATTGCACCATGTGATGACTGAGAACGTGTCTTGCATGAGCGGCTTGCCGCCGAAGGGAGGATCCTCCATCCCGGCATCTTTACCTGCATCCATCTGCTCTTCCGAGGCAGAGATCGAGTCGGTGAGCTCCGTTTCACTGTTGCATACCCAGTGAACCGGCTTAAGCAGCGCGCAGAACTTGAACTTGTTCCTGGGAATGCTATCGAGCACTACCTGACAGAACACGAAGAGACCGCCTCCACGGAGAAGAGCATGCCTAGTCCGGAATCTTGTAGTACCTGTAGACATGCATCGTCGATCATATATCGCTCTTAACGCGACAGTTGTATGCAGCCGTGGTCTACGACAGACACTGGGTGGTTATATATTATACATGGTGCATTCATCCTTCCGATATCTCTTGTCAATGTATCCTGGGTATTTCCATGTCCATAGCCATAACGTTGCAGGCAATGAGAGTCCGCTTAGAGCATTATCTGCTCGTCTATTTCAAGGGGCAAGACTACGATGTCATAGAAAGGCAATGAACATCAGACAATATATCGGTGAAGGGTTTTGTGACTCACCACTGTCGATCTCCTGACTATCGCACACCCACAACTGCGCGACGGTCGGGTCATGGTCGCTTGCCCGCGATCTTGCCGTCGGCGCCCACGTGTTGATATGTACATGCTCGATCGCCGCGCCCCGTGCAAGTATCGCAGGCGAAACGAACATGTGGTCAATCGCCTGCGCATGTTGGTCGTAGACATAGGTGTACCGCTCCTCAGGCGGGACGAAGTTCACATCCGGCTCAAATAGCAGGCCTTGTAGTGACTCGAAAACGGAACGCGTCTGGACAAACTCGTTGAAGTCGCCGGCAACGACGACGCTCGCATTTGCATCCTTCACAAGAATTGACTCGACGAAATTCTGCCATGTTGCCATGAGACGAAACATTTAAATCAGGTGTTGGCTTGTACGCACCGCAGTGACATCCATTTGAAGCCGCCGCTCTTCACTGTGGCCATTGACAGGCGGTCTAGCGTTACCCTGAGGCGATGAGCTGTCGCGTTTCGAGCGGAAGTGCACGTTGACGGTGAAGAAACGCTCTCCTGACGTTGTCTGCCATGCTGCTGCAATAGGTTTGCGTGTTTCGTCCCAAGCGATGTTCGTAGGGTCAATTCTGCCGGGGTTTAAACTGCGCATTTAATGAGATCAGGTGTGCTGCATTGTGAACATTCGAGAATTATTACCTCAATGTCAGCTCCCCCTTGCCATCACGAACGATCTCAGTTGCCTGGGTTGCACTCCCCCTTCGATGACCCGCAACGAGTGAGACCTTCTCCGGCCTCCACCTGACATTACACAAGGTCACTCATCGTAGTGTCTGAGTGACACGCCCGAACTCACAAGTATGCAACACGAATGTTTCCACCCGGTTGTCCACCGTCCATATTATCCTCGGGATCGACGTCCGCGAAATCGTAGTGTACCCCGCTTGCACCTTTGATGGCCTGTGCGAGTGCGGCGAGCGTGCGGTTGGCGGATACTACACCGTCATTGCGAACACCAGAATCATCCTGAATCTCCTGCACGAAGAGCATATCTGGGGTGTGCAAGAAGTCTGTGATATGCTTTGCGATGGCGGGAATGTGCTGGGAGCGTGGTGACATATTCTCAACCTAAGAACAAAGGTCATTCATGCCATCACATATGGATAAGTGCATGACGTACGTTATAGTCACCTATCGTTATCAGACAAGGAGCTGAGCTCGATCGAGCAGATGCTGGTAAGGCAGAGGTTTCAGGAACCGAAACAATAGTGGGCGCTGTCAAAGGCAGAATATAAAAGAACCCAAACTTGGAGAAGTTAGCATCGAAGGACAATTCCTTGACGTGTTCAGTTTACCTGGTAAGTAACGACGCCGGTGATATTGCTGAGCGCCGCGCCCATGAACGGCTTGGGGTTTCGTGTACCGTCCAAAGGATGACCAACAAAAATTGCTTCCGGGTGAGCATTGGGAACGCCGCTCTTATCTGTAACGGGCAAAATATCAGCTGGATGCTGCTGCAACGGGTAGCTTTAGAGCGCACCGAATGTCAGTGTTATACCACCTCGCTCGTTCTTTCCAGTAACGAACCAATCGCCGTGCACCCAGAATGAGCCGAATCTGTCCGGGAAGTTGACAGCCATTGGATTTGGGATCGTGACCACCTGCCCTTCCAAGCTCTCCCAGAAGTCCAGACCATACGAGTCTGGTTGTAGCGTAGTATTTCCTTCCTCCAATAAAGTCACGTTGTTGGGTAGGGACAGCCAGCCATCTCGACCGGCATCTACAGAAGAAAGTTTGCCTGTAGGCGGCGTGCGGTCCTTTCCAAGGACAATGGGGGAGATATCATGGTTATGGGACAGAACAGAGACGACGTGGACCAGGTCTATCTCCGTGAGTGTAAGATCATTGGGACTGTTCTTAGCACGATATTCAGCCACCCTTCCATCGAGGGATATCAGATCTCCAATAGCGACTTTGTGTGCAGCTGCAGAGCTGTAGATGCGGAGGCCGGTAGACACGCGGACGTCTTCAGATGGCTCTCCAGCTATCCAGAAGCCATACCGGTCCTAGTGAACAGCTTTCGTGAGCTCATTGGTAGAGCAGAAATCAGGAAACACTAACTTTTGCGGTTACAACACCGGTGACGTCTCGGACAGTCTGGCCGACTAGAGGCGACTGGAAAGACGCGCCTTGGATATCCGCCACGCTCACGGCTGAGGCTCCCAGATGGTGTAACGAAACGCAAGCCACAAAGGTGACCATGTAGGCACTGAGCGCACTGTGTGCTGTCATTAATCGCATCGTAGGGCAACCAGATATGACAGGCAAGTCGTAATGGGCGTCCTACGCGTCGGTCGCCACGAACGGAGGCTTTCAGGTCGGTGAGTACTGTAGAGGGTCAAGAAACTTTCAACGGAGCGCAGGGCGTTCAGGCCTTAGAGAGCTGGACAAAGGACATGCATTTGCTTAGCCGACACGGACGCGTCAAATGGTAGTCAGCTCAGAGACAGACCGATTCTGTCGCGTCCGTTGTGCGTCCGCGTGTCGTCCACGCTCAAGGGTCAAGCTTACATAACACCTCATCCTCGGGCGCTTCCAGCTCGCACCTCAGGCTGCAGGTACTGAATGCAAAGCCGCCAACAAATCTTGTCCCGCAGATCTCGCACGTGACGCTCTCACGCCACAATCCGCCGCGCAAAGCGCTGCAAAACGTCTAAGTCCACCATTTCGTTGGATTGCAGCATATGGTGGGCTTGAGAAAGTGATGAAGAATAATCCCCGACCACTTTTTTGAGGTGGTGGGCATACATTTAGAGGATGGACGGCTATCCCACCGACACTGGCTCTCTGGACATGCCAAAGACTGCTTTTCATTCACATTCTATCATTGTCGCAGTCTGCATGCGAGACTGAGCATCGGCTCTGCAACGCAAGCATTTTGTATGTTTCAGACAGCATTTATACAAGTGATTAGTGATGCATTTCATTTGTTTCGTAGGTTTTCATCTTCCATCGTGCCTCAACAGGAAGGGCTTGGCGTTTTACGCGGCCAATTATGGCGCGAGAGAGTCACGTGCGAGATCTGCGGGACAAGATTTGTTGGCGGCTTTGCATTCAGTGGCTGCAGGTCTCTGCTATTGAATGGAGCATTTCAGATACGGAACTAGCTTCAACATGCCCTAATTTCGCTGATGTGTCTATTCGCCCATCGACCACCTCAACACTGTCTTCCAAGTATGGCCACACTGGCTCTCCGCAAATTCCATGTCTTGCTCGTGTAGTGCCACCGGCTGCAGATCGCACCACCCCTGGGCATCGTGTACAAGTAGCAGGTCTACTGACATGGAAGATGTGCTACTCGTATGGAGATGCTCTTGCTTTAAATCAGAATACTGTTAGAAGCATGTGGCGCTTGAATTCTGCCTCATCACACGTCAAATTCGATGTGGCCGCGATATCAGTTCGGTCTCGTGGGCCAACATTCTGCATTCACCACCACCCCTGCTCGCACCTCCCGTCGTTATGCAGCATAGCAGCCCCCGCCTTTGCCTCTGCTTGCCTCTTGAGATACAAGAGAAACTCAAATCGGATGCAAAGTTTCACTTGTCATATTCATTCGTTAATTACCCTGATTTTGACGATTATCGCTTCAAAGTCCTAACCCAGAAGCTCTCGCCGGATATTACTTTTGTTTGCCCTCTCATGGAACTGGGGGATTCGGAGAGACGCCAGATAGCAGAGGACAGGCTTAAATTCAAACCCGAAAATAAGAGGACGGCTCTTCATTACGCTACTGCTACCGCGGACGTTGCCCTTGCCTACG